GCTTCAGGTGATGGAAATGTTCTGCACCTTGACTGTGGTGGTGGTGATGTGGGTTTATACATTTGTCAAACTTTATAGAACTGTATAATTTAAATGAATACATTTTATTGTACATAAATTAATAAAGTTGACTTAAATGAAATAACTTGAGTGAGCTGAAGCGTGTACATTTTTTTCTCTCAAAATATTCTTCCTTTTTGGACTTCCACAGGCAACTCCACAAATCAACTTAGTAGGTAAAATAGCTGAGTGACACTGAACAAGTGAGTTATTACTCTGAACTGAGCAATTTTCCTCATCAGTAAAATGAGTGAATTAGATGACTTCATTTGTTCATTCAATAAGCACTGACTAAAGCTCACTATGGGCAAGAAATATGCCAAGGGCTTCCCTGGTGGCGCAGTGGTTGGGAGTCTGCCTGCCAATGCAGGAGACACGGGTTTGTGCCCCGGTCCGGGAAGATCCCACGTGCCGCGGAGCAGCTGGGCCCGTGAGCCATGGCTGCTGAGCCTGCGCGTCCGGAGCCTGTGCTCTGCAACGGGAGAGGCCGCGACGGTGAGAGGCCCGTGTACCGCCAAAAAAAAAAAAAGAAATATGCCAGGTTCTAGAGATATAAAGCTGAAAAAGAAACCATTTTTGCCCTTTACGAATCTGTCTAGTGGAAGACAAAGACAAGCTAACATATCATTAGGATACTGCTTATGTATATATAGGGTATGAGGAAAATTCATAAGAGAAGCGATCTTCCCTGATGATGCAACACCCGAGTTGGGTTCTGAGGTACAAGTAAGAGTTAGGTAGAGAGGGAAGAGAAGGCATTCCAAGCAGAGGGTGCTGTATGGGCAAAGGGACAAAGGAGAGAGAGACATACCATGTGTTTAAGGTACTGCAGGTTGCTTAGTACGTCTGGAACACAGATTTCATCCTTGTGTCTTGACTGAAGAAAAGTTTTAAAAGATTCCGCTAGTTTAACCAATGTGTAGATAGGGGTCCTGTACCAAAGATGATATCCATGTTGTAGAGGACCACCTAAAAGGTAAAATAACTATACCTTCAGTTAGGATCCTTTCTATTGCAAATGTAACAAAACAGTCCAGGGGTAGACTGATGGAGTGTGACCTGGGAATTAACAAGGTCAACAGAGCAGCTTCCTGCTTTTTGCATTCCTAGGCTGCAGCAGCTCCAGACCCTATATCCTCTCTTGTTCATATCCAGCTTCCCTGAAAGATTAAACCAAAGCCTCACAATCAAGTTTCATTGATTTTGCACAGTCTTAGGTTTTGCACGGATCCTGAAGCAATCCTTGTGCCTGAGAGATGGTACATAATGATGGCTTGGCCAGGACCCAGAGGTCCTGGAGGTGGGAGTCAGCCTCATCTGAAGCGCATGGAGGAGGGGTAGATCTCCAAATAAAAATTAGAGCCTTTTCAGAAGAAGGGAGACTATAGATACTTAGGAGGAATTATATTTTAAGAAAAACATAATTGTTGAACAGATTCCAACAATTTTTAGAACAAGTCCGGGGTACAAACACACATGGACAAATTTCTTCTTTCATCTTCCATTCCTAGGACTAGTCAATGAAAATTGACTTCATAACAAAGTGATGTGAGACTCAATACATACACAAAACACTTATCACTCAATATTCTAAGCACCATATTAGTAAATGAGCAGTTTTATGAGAACAAAGAGCAGGGTGTAATTAATTCTAATTTATAGGCTCTCGGGTATCTTACAGTAGAGGAGAGATTTTTAGTGGGGCCTTGAAAAATGGAGTTCCTGCTGGCAGAGATAAAGTACAAGGCCATAGCTGGTTGAGGATGAGCACGTAATTTGGTGAGGATGAAGCACAGGATAACAGATCAGTGTGAGAGAACAGGAATGGAAAGATCAAGCTGTGATGAATTTCCCCCACTCTGCTAGACACAATGGAACCTGTATTTAGAGAGCTGCAAGAACAGATTAGATACTTCCTGAGACAAGGAAGGAGATAAGTATAGGGGAATAAAGCTAAGTTGTGAAGTGGAAGCCTGAGGGAGTTCAAGCCTAATGGTCTCTATTTTCTCTATGAAATAGGCAGAGAGAGTACATGCAGAGAGTTAAGTGGGTGCTATGCATTTAAGATACACTGAAAATGTCAATTAGCCAGAAGGCTGCATTACCAAAACATTCTGATCTAAAAGATCGTTCAATAAACTCTTCCACAATATAAGATCATACATATTACATACATACCTAGTGAGTGAACTGAAATCCAGAAGAGCCAAATGCCATTCGTCTATTAGTCTATTTCACCATCAGTAAGAATGCCACAGGCAGAATAATGATGTAATTATCACTGTCACTCAGATCATTGTGATCACTGGCAGAGCCTATGTGAGGGGCTGCCAGGGGTTGGCAGGAGATGGCGTGGGAGAATGCTGGAGGGAGGAGGTCAAGAGTAGTGTGAGTGTACTGAAAGGTGGAGTGGGCAAGGCAGCCTGACTGCCCTCGACGCAGTATTGTAACAAGCAGCCAAGAGCAGCATATGGCTGAGAGGGGTCTGTGACAGCAGCGAAATGTGTGGCAGCCTACTAGGTTTGGCTTTGGGGTTCGGATTCAGAATGACTGGCTAGAGCCACCTGTTCCAAAGCAAAGGATCTGCTATGCCTTGGTCCATTCATTTTCTTATAGATATAGAAGAAGTCTCAAATTATCACAGTCATACAAATGCTAATGAAGTTGGGCATTCTTCACATACTATCTTCTACCATTTGATCTTAAAATGTCATATTTAAAATTAATTACTGGGACCTCCCTGGTGGCACAGTGGTTACGAATCCACCTGCCATTGCAGGGGACGTGGGTTCGAGCCCCGGTCCAGGAAGATCCCACGTGCCGCGGAGCAACTAAGCCTGGGCACCACAACTACTGAGCCTGCACTCTAGAGCCCGCGAGCCACAGCTACTGAAGCCTGCGTACCTAGAGCCCGTGCTCCGCAACAGGAGAAGCCACCGCAGTGAGAAGCCCGCGCACCGCAACGAAGACCAGTCCCGGCTCACCGCAACTAGAGAAAGCCTGCGCTCAGCCACGAAGACCCAACACAGCCAAAAAATAAATAAATAAAACAAAACAAAATTAATTACTGACAACCTCTTATATTTGCTTGGTGCTTTGTAGTTAAAAAAAGAAAAATCACTTTCAAATGTATTTTCTCATTTGGTCTTACTCAACCCTGTAAGGTAAAGAGAGCAAATACAAAACTTTCATGCTGCCCGTCCTCTCCCCTGCATACCCCACCCAAATTACAGATAAGAGAGAAGAGATTATCTGGGGACTTCAAGCTAGGACAAGAACTCCTCCAGTTTAATGTTTCTCCCACAAGATTACTACATTGCTACTTTTAAAAAAGCTTATGAATATTCTCCTAAAGAAAAAAGCCAAAGGTGGGTGTATCTGTACACATTTGACCTTAATCATTTAAAACTCTCTCTCTTCCTAACAATCATGGGTATATGCTTATTCCTGTGATGAATGTGCATTTGTATACACAGAATGGCAAAGCGTATGATTATAATTGTATCGCCTTCAAAAGCAATAACATGGAGTTTATTAAGAATCAGTCACTGAATAAATGATTATTTAGTCCTCAATAAGTCAACAAGTACCTGATGAATAAAAGCATTTATGTAGATTTCCAAATTAATAACTAGTAGTTATATAAAATTCCACCACACTTGCAGTCTTGTGCTAAACCTCATACATTTCCTAAAAGTATACTCTCTAAATAAAAGACTCCAGAACTAGATTTTGATAAAACTTAATACAATTCTAAGCATTCAGTAAGACTATGAATCCACTGATTCAGAATTTTATTGAAGTGATCAGCATCTTGAATTTGAGTATAAAATTGAAAGACAACGATTTTTGGACTTTTCCCCCCACATTCTATCATTCTGCATTATAGAAATGTTAGGTCTCTAAGAAGTAATATAAAATTAGACCCTCTACTTACAATAAGGACCAAAATAAGACTGACGCCTTGCATAATGTCTTCAGTTCTAGAATGAATGTATAATACCTACTTCTGGTCTCGCTAAGCTGCTCTGCCCTACAAGTAAATCTCATTAAACCAAACTTCAGTGAAAATGCATATGGGGTTTCCCTGGTGGTGCAGGGGTTGAGAGTCCGCCTGCCGATGCAGGGGACACGGGTTCGTGCCCCGGTCCGGGAAGATCCCACATGCCGCGGAGCGGCTGTGTCCGTGAGCCATGGCCGCTGAGCCTGCGCGTCCGGAGCCTGTGCTGCGCAACGGGAGAGGCCATAACACTGAGAGGCCCGCGTACCGGGGAAAAAAAAAAAAAAAAGTGCAAATGGTTTTGATTTTTCATTCCCTTCATTGAGTCCTTGGGTGTCCTCTTTGTAAACTTCCAAAGTAATGGAATCTGGCAACAGATCTCAGCAGTGTCAAGTCTTCTAACTAAGAGATGGAAGGTTGGGAAATTTAAAGGGATCATTCTATTTTCTTTTTTCAGAAAGTGATGAATAAAAGTGTCAGGTGGAGACAACTGTATTTGACCTTCCCCAATAGAGAGAGAAATAAAATGGAGAGGGATCTAGATCTCTGATGAGAGAAAAGTTGTTAAAAACACCAAAGTACATTTGAATTCCTACTTAAAAGCATTATCTTTTTCAAGTCTTCCCACATCCTACCCCACCCCTGGCTTTGAGTGAAATGCAATTTATAAGACAAAATGATTCATTATCTAGAGATAAATTTACAAACCGACATAAGAGAACTGTCCCAGAGGCTACATTACGTATTCAAGTTTATTACAGTATCTTTAGTTCTTATTGCATATATTGTTACATGCCTTTTACAAGGCAGGGTTATCTATGCTATGTATGCTCAATTTAGCAGAAGTTATATCTACTGCTTCTCTCTTGAAAATCAGCAGCATGCAGTGCAATACGTGGTGTGCAGAGTTATTGTTTCAAAAAGTGAAAAACTACTCAGGTTTAACTGAGGAGGAACATGATCTTTATTGGCTTATATGCAAAGTTTAATTTTGGTTTTATGCAGAGTTTGCATAGTTCATGATTACTTTCTAATGAAAAACTAGATGTGTTGTCAGTGACCTTGAAGAAGATCAGGTGACAGTAGCAAACAGAAAAATTTGAAGAAGAGGCATAACTTTTAAAGTAGAAAGGTCAGCAAGAACTGCCTGAAACAAAAAACAAAAGGAATGATTACTATCGGCATTCTGATCAGCAGAGTGAAGCCTATGAAATAAACACAGAAACACCTTTACAATGTGATTCTGATATCAACACACTCTAAGTTCTTCAGATTGGTCCCAAATCTCTGTACTGAAGCTACAACCTTCTTTCTCTTTTCTGAACATCTTAATGTTAGAACATGTGCAAAATACTCAAATGTGCAGTAGAAAATAATCTGGACTTTAGCCTTGAGCCTTCTTCAAATATACAAGGTAGCATGAGTTTATAAGAGGTCTAACATTTCAACTTGCTTCTATAAATAAACGTACATTATGAATCCTAGTCCCGTTATACTAAGGAGTAACTGACTTTAGGAAATCATTTTAAGATGGAACTAATGTTTACTCAGTTGCAAGATGCATAAACATCCTCTTCCCTTTAAACAAAGAATGTAGGCAGCTATTTTAAGGATAAAATTTACATTTCTGTGAGAGATAACAAATAGAGTAATATTGTAAGCCACTATTTAATTGAACCATGCTTCAGGTGTAAGATATACTACTGAAAAGAAAGGAGCTTTAAATAATTAACTCACAACTAAAAATAACCAAAAAGCCCATGTATCTTTACTATATCATCCAAACACATGCTCTTTAATTCTTTCAATTTGTCTTTGTTCTATGAGCATAACACATGGATGTGAACAATTATAAGAAAATGCAACATAAGCCCCAATAGTTTCTATTAAAACTACTAGGTATCTTGTTTCCTGTAATGGTTATAGTGGTTTCCCATAATAACCTTGTTTATGACTCCTTCACAAGAACATTGTTTTCAAGTAATTAAGGAATTCTGAATACTTAATATTACTTAGCTCAAAACTTATGGGTTTTACCCAAGTTAAAAAATTAGTCTGCGAGTAATGTGTGTCCTATGCATCTGATACTAAAGTGTCCGAGCCTGGCAATCTCTCAGGAACTATTTCCATCCCATCTGAGTGAAACTTATCCTTACTTCAGCTGCAGCCAGTGATGTCACCTCCATCAGGTTCACTGCTCGGAAAGCAAACACAGCAGCTGCCAGGACTGGAAAAGAATGCACACTATTTCAACTGCTGGTCTGGTCTACTCATCAGCCAGACAATTTTACTGCTATGCCCACAACCCACTATGAGGGCTCAGAATTAGTGCTTCACAACTGCATCCTGTATTCTGAGTTAAGGCCTTGTGATGAATGGAAATTGTCTCCTCTGGAGAACAGTGGCTTGACGGTGCAGTTTTGGGAAAAAGGGAAATTTTAGTGGTTTTAAAAAAGCCATTTTATAAATTGTTTCATACCTATAACTTCGATTGTAACAATTTTTAAATGGCATGAAGATCTAATGACTATCTTATAAATAAAGATTTATTTTGATGCAGGTGTTTCTTACTGATGCAGTGGAGAGGCTTCTGAAAAGTTATATGCAGACTGAATTTTTAAATATATCAGATGATGCTTCATATGTATCAAGGAGGTATCCTGATAAAAATGTGGCAATAAAGTCTTTCCTTAAAAATATTTTTATACTATTTTGTTATATTTTTATGCTCATCATTGACTTTCTTAGAGTGTCATAAATGGATACGTCTGTGGGGCGGGCTACTGTGGGATTGATCCTGACATTTACATTAATGTTGGCCACAGAAAAAGAAGTTGAAACTTTGAAAAGAAAATAAACCAAACCATTATAGAACATCTTGAAGGTCAATAATATATACTGAGTAGAAAACATTTGGATTTTTGTTCCCATTAATCATCTGCATATGAAAAGAGAGTAATGCTGACATGCATTATGTCTTATTATATAATCTACCATAAAACTTTGTGAAAGTGAATGAGTCATCATGAACAATGGAAGGACCATGTAATAGGTTCAGGCAACTCTGATAAGGAAACAGTACTGCCTGGAGGTGACTCTTGACTTCTCCCCATTGTTTTCATCACCAGTAGTGGTAGTACATTCCCTACCCAACAAGTCCTTAAAGTTTAGGAAATGAATGGTAAGCAATCTTTAAAATTATTTGGAAGACTCGTTCCTAAGTATATTGCATAGATAATGCAAATGTTTTTTTAAAATACATTTTTACTATGGAAGTAATAATAATGATAATAGCAGTTAATTCTAATATCAAAAATGAGTTAAGTACTATTGTTAGCTCCATTTTACTAATGTAGAAACTGAGGCACTGTGAGTTTGGATGACATATTCAGAGTCACACAGGTAGAAAATAGTAGAGTGACTACTCAACTCTGGCCCTAGAGCCCAAACATTTAACCACTATGTGATGACATTTTTGAAATTGAAGGTAAGCAGTAATGACTCATCCCTGATATAGAAATCTGTGTGCTTTCCTAAGAATCACCTTCTCTTTTGTCTCTCAGAATAGTTTTCCCCTGGGATAAACCATAATGGAAAAGAATATAAAAAAGACTGTATATACATGTATAACTGAGTCACTTTGCTGTACAGAAGAAATTAACCCAACATTGTAAATAACTATACTTCAATTTAAAAAAAAAAAAAAAAGAATGGTTTTCCAGAGATGGCCTGAAGGATGATGCATGGTGGTCCTGGGCTCTGGACCACCTGATAGGGGTCATGCCCATGGAGTAGAAGTCAGGATACAGGTCTCTTAATTTCCCCAGATAGAGGCAGAGTGACTGGGAAGCACAGGCATTTTTCGAGGGGACAACAGATTTTGGACAGTTTGTCAAAAAAAGCATTAGAACTAGTTAGGAAAATTCTGGGAGAAAAATAGATGGTAGTGGTAAAACAAAATTTAAAAAGTCATCAGCTGGGATTATTTAATATGTAACAAGGGATATAAGAGACCTGGGGCAAAGAATTTACCCTTTAATTGAAATGGAGAAAACTTAAGTACCTAAAGTCCCTCAGCTTCCATTTTTACAAGAATATCAAAGAAAACCATTTCTGTGGACCAACAACTTCTTTATAGTTTTCTAATATCTGGAACCATATTTGAAAATGGAGACATTTTAGGAGCTAAGGGTTGTGGTCACTATTTCCTTTTTTGAGTATAATTTAACGGAGTTGGTGAAAGCTTGACAGGATGGTCAAATTTTCCGCTGTAGCAGGAAAGAGTTTTACATGGTGGGAAATATATAGTTTTTCCAAAGGTAGATAAGAGGGGGAATAAAAGAGTAGTTACTAATTGACTTCAGCATCCAAAATGCTTATGTGCTCACAACCTTTATTTATCTTGGTGTCATATCACAGAAGTTCCTTTCCGTCTGCTTCATGATTGCTTTGCCCAGTACTTCCTCACAGCAGATGTATTTGCCAAGGAAAACAGGTCTATACTTTGGGATATTTTCTTTTTTTTTTTTAATTAAAAAAAATTTTTTTTTTTTTTGGCTGTGTTGGGTCTTCATTGCTGAGCGTGGGCTTTCTCTAGTTGCAGTGAGCTGGGGCTACTCTTTGTTGCAGTGCGCAGGCTTCTCATTGTGGTGGCTTCTCTTGTTGCGGAGCATGGGCTCTAGGCACGCGGGCTTCAGTAGTCGTGGCTCACGGCCTCTAGAGTACAGGCTCAGTAGTTGTGGCCCACGGGCTTAGTTGCTCCGCGGCACATGGGATCTTCCCAGACCAGGGCTCGAACCCGTGTCCTCTGCATTGGCAGGCGGATTCTTAACCACTGCGCCACCAGGGGAGTCCTGGGATATTTTCAACTGAAGTCATGCTTCATATGAAATACAGAAACTCAAATATTTACTTTTGGTCTTTTAAACTGTTCTCATTATTTTAATTTTAAGCAACTCTATCATGAACATTAAGACACCTATGCTTTAAACTGTTCTTCAAAAGGCCCTAATTAGTTCACAATTGAAACCAGTAATATTTACTAAAATATTCCTAAAGACTACATAAGCTCACTTGAGCAAAAAAGGTGGTCACAAAATATTCAGCCCCCAAAATGTATAAAATAATCAAAACTAACTTATATACACATCTACATGCAATTACCTACCCTATGGCTCTTTATCTGAATTCCATGGTAGGAATTCCCATTAGTCTAATTCCATTTCTAGATGTTCTACAATTCTTCTCTGTTGATTTTTTTTTAAAATAAATTTATTTATTTGTTTATTTTTACTTTTGGCTGTGTTGGGTCGTTGTTTCGATGTGCAGGCTTCTCATTGCAGTGGCTTCTCTTGTTGCAGAGCATGTGGGCTCTAGGTGCACAGGCTCAGTAGTTGTGGCGCTTGGGCTTAGTTGCTCCTTGGCATGTGGGATCTTCCTGGACCAGGTATCAAACCTGTGTCCCCTGCACTGGCAGGTGGATTCTTAACCACTGTGCCACCAGGGAAGCCCCTCTGTTGATTTTTTAAAAACACTCAGAGAAAGTGAATGGATGCAATAGTGTGAACTGCATTTCTACCTATACATCAATAACTTTTTAATTAATGTATTAAGCTTACAGCAAAGTACGTGGCTTAGAGCAAATGCAGCATTCAACATTCATTTCTCGTTCACTGCAGTTTGCTGAGGGGTGATAAGTCACAGAATGGGAGACTTTAAATTGGAAGACGCTTTGAAGGTCTTCCAATTCAACATTTCTTTCATGATAGAAAACCACTTAACCCTTCAGATGACAGTTAAAAAGCCCATTCTACTTTTGGAAAGTCCTAATTATTAGAAAGTACTTTCTAATATTGAGCCCATTTCTTTAACATGCTCTAATGTTTTTTGAAATGATACAAAAAGCTACATACAATACTCTTCAAAATTTTTGCCCTACCCAGAAGAGTTATTTGGTAGAAAATCTAAAATCCTGTTACTTGAGAAATGGTAGCAAAAAACAAGACTACTTAGCCTGGAAAATAGAAGACTTTGAGGAAAGGAGGGGGTGAGAGAGTAGAAAAAACATGATGATGATCCTGGTTTAACAGTAGTACATTTTAACAAGTTATATTATCCAGGCACTTCCTTGGCGGTCTAGTGGTTAAGACCCCGTGCTTCCACTGCAGGGGTTTGATCCGTGGTGGGGGAACTAAGATCCCACACGCCATGCAATGTGGCCAAAAAAAAAAAAAAAAAAAAGTTATATTATCCAGAAATGAAATGGGCTAGTTGGTAAGACAGGGATTATCCAACACTGAATGTTCAAACACAGGATAAGGACTGCCTGTTAGAAATATTTAAAAGAAGTTATACCTGATGACCTCTAGGATTCCCTTTTGTCTCTAGATTGTATGTATCACTGCCATTCAGCCAAAAGAGGTGATGGCAGACCATTTTTTCCTAACTCATATTTGTATGGGCTTTAAAAACAACTGAGATAGAAAGATACTGGGAGTTGTTAAAAACCCCAGTAAATGATACCAGGGGCAACATTTATCTTCATGGTACTTTGTCATTACCTCAATTTTCCTTTTCAAAATGCCACCTAATTACTCAAACTTTCAGCATTCAAAAATATGTTAATATGGCACCCAGAGAATCTTCTGCAAGAAAAGGGTCATCAATTAAGCATTATTTCCAAATGGCCCAGAGAGGTGTCTTTACAATGCTATCACTGGGTAAAGATTAAATAATTTGTTCAATGTCACAAAACTGGAGAAGGTTGGAACCAGCATTCTCTGCTCTCCATGTGAAAACCCTGTAATACTTATTTGAATTCCCTGATAATTTCAATGATAAAAATAATTGAGTCGATTTTACACACAGAGAAGCAAAATAATGTAATAAGAAATCTGTGCCCTATGTGTTATCACACAGTTGCCCTCTGTGTATATCTGTTGTAAGAACTTAATTATTAAATAAGAGATAGATTTGTGGCTTTCTGAAAAAAAGATGAATTTCTTTTTGGCTTAAGAGAATATGTAAAAGGGGAAACTCAGTTACCAGGGCAGGACTCAGAGACGGTTAGCAACAAGGAAAAGGTTTTGAGTTCAGTATAAACTAGTCCAGAAGAGCTGAGATTTCAACTATGCAGGGAGGCTCAGTCTCAGTTTGGATTTTAGGTAGTAGTTGAGAAAGGGCACAGAACAGAACACTAAGGTAGTCACAGGAGTCAGGAAAAGAACAGAAGAATATCTACACTCTGCTGTGCAAACCTCACAGGTGCTGAGACCGTAAGCCCCGGCTGGATTAAAAGCAGGGGAGGGGAGCTGGACATTCCTAGAAGCGACGAAAAAATACTAGGAATAGACGTGATGGGCAGTTATGCAGATGTATTTAGATTGCAGAATCTCAGTGCTTGTCTTCTAAGGCAGATAAATCTACTAAATGTTCATGAATTAGAAATGACAGACAACTGTAGAATTAAATTCCAATTACAGATGGTGAATGTCAGAAAGGAAAGGGGTTTTACTATAAAAAGAGCATGTGTTTTACAAACAAGCACTTACTCTTACCAGCAAGAATTTCCAGAGAGTTGTACCCTAGGATTCTATCCCACAAAAGCAAGAGTTGATCTGTAGCTAAGTATCCAGAGAAAGCTCGAACCATCCATTTAAATGATATGCGAAGTCTGTAAGCAAAGAAAAAAAAGAAATTTTACCAGTGGAATTTTTTCTCGTCGAAAAGCAGTATCAGGGCTTCCCTGGTGGCGCAGTGGTTGAGAGTCCGCCTGCCGATGCAAGGGACAGGGGTTCGTGCCCCGGTCTGGGAAGATCCCACATGCAGCGGAGCGGCTGGGCCCGTGAGCCATGGCCGCTGAGCCTGCGCGTCCGGAGCCTGTGCTCCGCAACGGAAGAGGCCACAACAGTGAGAGGCCCGCGTACCTCAAAAAAAAAAAAAAAGCATTAAGAGTAAGAATTATATTCCTGGGTCCCACTTTATGTTATAGTTCATTCTTTAGAAAACTCACTTCTACATTCTGTTTTTCAGGGTGTGTACTAATTAGCTAACAATGAGGTGATCTTATAGTCTTAACAGTTCCAGGCAAGCCTAGAACATTTGAATTTTTATTCAAGATACTTGAAAGAGCTTGATAGCTGCATATTTTTCCAATTCAATAAATTATATTCCTACATTTCACCCAAATGGCTACAAAGGATGAAAAAAGACAAAGAAAACTAGTTTTAAAACTATAGGAGGACTTCCATGGTGGCACAGTGGATAAGAATCCGCCTGCCAATGCAGGGACACAGATTCGATCCCTGGTCTGGGAAGGTCCCACATGCCATGGAGCAGCTAAGCCCATGCCTCAAACCACTGAGCCTGCACTTTAGAGCCCGCGAGCCACAACTATTGAGCCCATGCACCTAGAGCCCGTGCTCTGCAACAAGAGAAGCCACCGCAAGGAGAAGCCTGCGCAGCGCAACGAAGAGTAGCTCCTGCTCACCGCAACTAGAGAAAGCCTGCGCACAGCAACAAAGACAACGCAGCTAAAAATAAAAAATTAAATTAAATCTTAAAAAAAGGAAAAGCTATAAGGGACCTTAGAAATACATCTCTGATTTGAAACCCTTAGTTTTATAGAGGAGGTCATCAGAACTCTTGAAAAATCAACCAGAAAATTCAATTAAATTCTATTTTGCAAAAAAAAAAAAAAAAGTCCTAAGAAGTATGAGATCCTACTGTTTCATAAATAGGTTATGTTACAATAACAATTTATCTCTAGAATCAGGAAACAAACTCTTTGGCTTTGGTGCTTGAAGAGATTAAATAGTCTCTCAATTTCTGTACTATCTATTGGCAATTAGACATCACTTGACTGCCCCTGAGAGGTTCTAGCCAAATTCTTTGTTAAAACTGTTATATAGATAAATATCTGTACTTTTTCTTAAAAGAGAAAATGGGATTGAGAGATTGCCTTTGTTGGTGTCACATTAACTTTCTTGAGACTGAAAAAGGACCCCCAAGTTTCAGAAATTCCTCAATACTAGATAACTATTGTTCTAATATAACAAAGTACATGTAGGCAGTAGTATTGATAAATCAAGATTTTTGGTTGGTTTTAGAATATCTGTTTATAGATGCCAAAGAAACTTTTAGCCACCAATTATTTTAAATTTAAATAATTTACTAACTTTTAAGCCTAAATTATTAACTTCAACTAGTTTCATTTTACTGGATCTCTCAGTGTCTTATTAGAACAACAGCACCACACATCATGCCTTCTGCTCCCTAGTATACAGCACAGATTCAATTTCTTAGAAATACAGTTTATTGAGGTATAATTTATGTATAGTAGAATTTGCCCTTACTAATGCACAATTCTGAGTTTTGTTAAGAACCAAATGGAAATTTTAGAACTGATAAATACAAAAACAACAAAAATAACAACAACAACAAAACAACCCTCACTGGATGGATCCAATAGCAAAATGGAAATAACCATTGAGAGAGCCAGTGAATTTAAATACAAATCAATAGAAATGTCCAATATGAACTACAGAGTAAAAAGGATTGAAAACAAAATGAACAGAGCTTCAGGAAGCTGTGAGATAAGACTAAAAGTTTTAATATTTGTGTCCCAGAAGAAAAGGATAATGAGTGTGGTGCAGAAAAAAATATTTGAAGAAATAATGGTTGAAAACTTCCTAAATTGGGCAAAAGAAATCAGCCTCAAATTCAAGATGTTAAGCAAACCCTAAACAGGATAAACCCAAGAAATCCATGTCCAGATACATCATAATCAAACTGCTAAGATCTAAAGACAAAGATCTTGACAGCAGCCACAGAAAAACAATAATTGATATTATTTCTTCCTGACGTGTTTTGTAGAATTTGCCCATGAAATCCTCCAGGCCTGGAGTTTATTTGAAAGTAGAAGGTGATAAATTAAAGATGTATATTGTAAATCCTAGGGCACTGTTAGAGACTGAATGCTTGTGTCCCCACTCCCACCCCCAAATTCATATATTGAAATTACCCCACAATGTGATAGTATTAGGAAAGAGGTGTGTGGCCTTTGGAAGTTAATTAGCATTAGATAAAGTTATGAAGGTAGGTCCTCATGTTTGGGATTAGTGCCTTCATAAGAGTCATGTGAGAGCTTCTTTTTCCTCTCTGCTCTCCATCATGTGAGGATACAATGAGAAGCAGTCTGCAACTTAGAAGAAGGTCCTCTCTGGAACTCAACCATGCTAGCAACCTGATCTTAGACTTCCAGTCTCCAAAACTGTGAGAAATAAATTTCTGTTGTTTATAAGCCATACAGTTTATGGTAATTTGTTATAGCAGACTGAACTAAGACAGACTCTTATCAAAAAATATTTTTAGAAAGGTATAAATAATAATCCAATACTGGAGATAAAATGGAGTAAAAAATTATTCAATTCAAAAGTAGGCAGGAGGGGAACTTCCCTGGTGGTCCAGTGGTAAAGAATCGACCTTACAATGCAGGGGACACAGGTTCGATCCCTGGTCAAGGAACCAATATCCCACATGCTGTGGGGCAACTAAGTCCATGTGCTACAACTACTGAGCTCATGCGCCTCAAATAGAGCCTGCGTGCCACAAACTACAGAGCCCACACGCTCTGGAACCTGCATGCCACAACTACAGAGCCCACCTGCCCTGGAGCCTGCATGCCACAACTAGAGAAGAGAAAACCTGCATGCCATGACTAGAGAGAAGCCTGCATGCTGCAACGAAAGATCCTGTATGCCTTGACAAAGATCCTATGTGCCGCAACTAAGACCCAATGCAGCCAAAAATAAAGAAAATAAATAAATAAATAATAAATAAATTAAAAACAAACAAACAAACAAAAGTAGGCAGGAGGGACTTCCTTGGTGGTCCAGTAGTTGAGAATCCGCCTTTCAATGCAGGTCACATGGGTTTGATCCCTGGACGGGGAACTAAGATCCCACATGCTGCGGGGCAACTAAATCCCTGCACCACAACTAGAGAGAAGCCTGCATGCTGCAATGGAAGATCCCGTGTGCCACAACTAAGACCCGATGTGGCCAAAAATAAATAAATAAATATTAAAAAAAAAAAGCAGGCAGGAAAAGAGGACAAAAAGAATAAAGAGCACATGGGACAAACAAAAAAATGTCTATCAAGATAGTAAATAATATCAATTGATATTATTTTAATCCAATAATATCAATTACATTAAATGTAAATGGAATAAACACACCAATTAAAAGACAAACTGCCACACTGAAAGACCCAAGTATACTTTTGACAAGAAAGCCATCTGAAAAGTAAAGACATTGATAATCCATATGCTAAAAGTAAAAAGACAGAAAAGAATACACTACACAAATTGTATTAAAAAGAAAGCTGGAATGGCTATATCAGACACAGTAGACTTATTGCTAGGAAAAGACATTACATAATGATAAAAAGATCAATTCTCCTAAAAACAGAGTCAAATACATGAAGTAAAAATATATATAGCAATGCAGAAATAAAAAGACAAATTCACAATTATAATTGGAGACTCTAACACTTCTTTCTCAATAATCAATAGAAAAAGTAGACAGAAAGTTAACAAGTGTATAGAAGTCTTGAACATTATCAACAAGCTTGACTTGATTACCACTTACAGAACATTCTGCTCAACACTAGCAGCATACGAATTCTTTTCAAGTGTACATGGAAGATTCATCAAGATAGATCATATTACGGGTCATAAAACAAACTGCAACACATTTAAAAGAACTAAAATCTTATGAAGCACATTGTCTAACTGTAACAGAATTACACTAGAAATCAATAACAGAAAGACATAATATCTTTCCAAATATTTAGAAATTAAACAATGCAGTTTTATATAAACTATGGTCAAAGACGAAGTCACAAGAGAAATTAAGAAACATTTTGAATTGAATGAAAGTGAAAACATAACACATCAAAATTTGTTGAGTGGAGTTAAAGCAGTGCTTTGAGGGCAATGTATAACATTATTGCTTACATTAGAAAAGAAGAAATGTCTCAAATTAATTATCTAAATTTCACCTTAAACAAGTAGAAAGACAAGACCAAAACAAAACTAAAGCAAGTATACAGAAGGAACTAACAAATAAAAGAGCATAGGGCTTCCCTGGTGGCGCAGTGGTTGAGAGTCCGCCTGCCGATGCAGGGGACACGGGTTTGTGCCCTGGTCCGGGAAGATCCCACATGCCGCAGAGCAGCTAGGCCCGTGAGCCATGGCTGCTGAGCCTGTGCGTCCGGAGCCTGTGCTCCGCAACGGGAGAGGCCACAACAGTGAGAGGCCCGTGTACAGCAAAAAAAAAAGCATAACTCAATGAAACTCAAAATAGGAAAACAAAATCAATGAAACCAAAAACTGATTCTTTCAAAGAAGAATAAAATTAATAAGCTTCTGGCCAGAATAATCAAGAAAGAGAAACAAGATACAAATATCAATCTCAGAAATGAGAGCAGTAATTTCACTCTGATTCTATAGATATTGAAAGGCTAATTAAGAATTATTATGGAATATTATGAATAATTTATGTCCATAAACATGATAACTTAGATAAAATGCACTAAGTACTCAAGAAGAAGGAGATATCCTGAAGAGTCCTATATCTAGTAAAAAAATTAAATTCTAAATTAAAAACCCTCCAATAGCATTAGTTTTAATTCATGAAAGCCTTTTAATAATTGATTTCTAGCCGATAATTAAATTTTTACATTTTCTCTTGCATCAGAATTTTAGAGTTTATCATAATTCACTGAAATAAATTTGTTCCTTTTAATGATTAAAGTGCATAAATAGACTAGAAAAAAATCAGGATTTTAGCTTCTAGCAATAAACTAAATGTCTTCACTCTAGTAAGGAAAAGCATAGTTATATTCAAATATTCATTTCACAGTAGTAAAATAAAGGTCAGTTTGCCACAAGAAAAAATGACTTGTATGTAATATAAAATATTTCTGCCATATTCTTGTTTTATAATATTAATTATTAATAAAATCCTGTTTTTTAATGTCTACAAAAGAATGAGTGTCACCTAGATGTTATCAATGGATGATATGAGGTGTTGTTTTATAAATGGCATTTCTAAGATCTAAAATGTCTGAAATTCGATGATGATTTTAGAATGGAGATATATATGTATATGTGTATATATGGAGATATATATGTATATATACATATATATCTCCATATATACACATATACATATTCAATCTTTAAACAACTCCATGAGGTAGGAATTCCCTTGATTTTAAAGATGAATAAATTAAATTATCTTGACTTAATGAAAGAAATTCAGGCTTAGGTAAATTAAATAATTTTATCAGGATTTTATAGTTTAGTAGAGATAGAATTTGAATCTGGGTCTGTCTCTTAAACCCACCCACCCACTCATCCATCGGCTATGGATTCTATTTCCCATTAACTACTTTTGTGGTCTCAAAGAGTTAGTGTTCCTTTCAAATATGCCCTTATATAGGAGGAAATGGTTACACAGAAAGGAAGACAGTAACAAAACACTGATAAATCATTTGGAAATTTCTGTTGCCTTAAGACACTGTTAATTAAAAAAGAGAAAAGAGAACCAATAATAATGAGGTCCACAGGTACCCTACATATTCACTGATAACTCATACTGAGATAAATGAACAAAAATTCAAGCTTTTGGAAGAAAAAATCACAGTGTACAACCATTGGTAAATAATCGATCTAGATTCCTTTAATGAAAGCCAGCAAACTTTAACTTTTCTGTCTTTCATAAGTTGTTTTCTGATAAATTTGGCCTAAACTGACTTAATTTTAGTATTATCACATTTCTCAGGTAGTATTTGTTTCCACAAATTTTTGCCTCAGTTTGGCCAACACCTTTCATTATGAATAGAAATTAGTTCTTTTAGTGATTCTTGTACCAAGCACAAAAATCCAAGCAAATAAGAATTTATTAGGATTTTGGTAAGTCTCCCAAGAATTTCTGGTACAATGTCAAGTTATAATTTACTACTTGATAATTATTGTTTTATTGGGGAAACTGTTAGTTTAATGTCTCTGAAAAATTACTGTATCTTTGATGATGAAAAAGAGCCTTCTGGTATCAATTTATTCTTCAATTAGGAGAGAAAAATACTCACGGTTGAGCCCCAATTTCTCGTAGATGATAAAAGAGTTGGGGGAGATAAGTTTGAAGAAGAGTTTCAAACAGCAGACAGAGTGACACAATACCCTGGATACAATAATAAATCACAAGAGAAATGCATAATTTAGTATTTAAAAATGAACTCTGCCATTAAATTATTCAAATGGAAATGAGAAAAAGATTATCAATATAAATATTTTTTCCTTTCTAACGATAGGCTCCCCACATAACCTGGCATGTAGTAATGTTAGGAATTCAAGGAAAACGTCATTTTATAGAAAAATCTGCTTCTCTGTAAGTCATATAGTATCACGTAGGCCCAGCAAAATTAGTTTTTTCTGGATGCATTCCAGTTTCCAGGTATTTCTCTGGTGCTATGGCCACACCCTTCACTTTCTCCTCCACATGTCCCTTCCCTTCCAGCTGTCTCATCCATCAGGGAAAATATTTCCTGCTTTCTTAACTCTTTAATTGAAATCCATCCCCAGGGAAAGACTAACTGTTTGAAATTTGCATCAGGAAGTTATCAAACAAGAATGTTTGATTACTTAGTATAAGGATAACTTTTTTAAAAACTGAAATCCACTTTTTTAAAAGGGCATTATCTGTAGAGTACAAAGTAGATGGTTTTTCAAGTGCATTTATTACTTGACAACTCTGAATAAAGTCTTTCTTGCAGCTCAGCATTCCTCAGCGTTGATCTCTGTAAGGAAGTTTTAATCCTCTTTTTGAATTTCTAAAGAAATAAGGCTGTCACGGTTCCAAATAGTTAAGTCTGGCTGCAAGCCAGAAAAGGAGATGACTGCCTGTTAAGTCTTTATTTCACTGAATAAAGAAAGGGCAGAGGCAGGGCTGTCCCAATCAATCAGCTGAAAAAGGACACCTTAGGGTCAGCACGGATATAGAGAAGGCATATCCAGAGTTGCTCAGTGGCAAGCTTCAGTGGTCTGCACAGGGAAAACATCACGGGTATCTATTGGGCAGCCAGTTAAAAACATTTTTTTGAAACTCTGAAGCGTAAAATGGTACAGAATATGCGAGTAAGAAATCTGAGGCTAAGGATGAGTTATAAGAAAAAAGAATTATTAATATATTTTTGGTTATTCTAGATTAAATATTCATGCAATATAGGCATTAAATCAAGTTGTCTCAGAGAGAAGAAACCCAAGATAATTGGCGGTACTTCATTTGTTCATCTGTGACATCCTGGATTTCTGTTACTTGCCTGCTTTCACTAGCAATGTATGAGAGCAACACTGGAGACAGAGGAAGGTGGAATACGAATACACAGAAATGGCGGGGGGGAGGATAATGAACTGCTATTTAGTTGAGTAGCAGTGACAGCCTCCTCTTTTGGGAAACTTGGTAGCCCTGACACATACCAATTTTTAATGTTTTTTCTGGAGACTCAGTCAAGTTACCCACAAGCAGACCAAAGCAGGCTCAAAGACAGAAAAAGTATAACTGAAATAAAATAAACACTGCTTTTACTCAGGCTAAGGAGGGTGGGGGTGGGGGAAGGAAGATATGATAAAGGACTGGACAAAATAAAACAGATACAAATACTCAACTCTCAGTATGCTTCTCTTTGAATTTCATGTTAAGGCCAAGGAGCCATCTATTGAATAAACACAAAGGAGATATCTACTTTGATAACTGATAATTAGCCAAATTGAAAAATAAGGGACAAATAAATGTTTATTTTTCATTAACAAAGAAAAGATGATGATGATGATGATGATAATCATAACGACAACAATAAAAACAGCAGCCGTCTATTTACTGAACATCTGCCACGAGCCAAGTACTACCCAGGTGCTTTGTACACTGCTCTACAACACCACAGAAACTCATTACTAACTCTGAAATGAGTTTCAGAGATGAGGAAACCAGCATTCAAAGAAGTCAGCCACCTTTGTCAAAGAAAACAATACAGACATTGCTATGTTTTTTCTTTCAACATATAAAAGATAATTTAAATGCAATTGATAAAAGGCTTTTTCCTCTCTAATTATTACTAAAACTATTTAAATATCAATTTCTTCTTCTCTTTCATTTATTCTATAGAAAAGTGTTGCCTGACCTCACAAGTTAACATTTGTTTTTCTTAAGGAAAGGAAAAACAGATTAGAGTCTGCTTTGATCCTTTTTTTTTTTTTTTTTTATGAACTTACAGAAGGATGAGAAGAGATGGAATGAAGTCTGAAGAAAAAACGCACATACATCTCACGGAATATCTGATACAATTTGGAAGGTTCATGGTACAGAAAACAAAGTGGTGCAACTGAAAGAACAAAAAAGTTAATTAATAATATTGCAGAACTACTAAAATTAAAAAAATAAGTTCACAAAACATGAAAGAATAAATATTTTCTAGTAATCATATTCATTCATAGACAAGTTTAGAATCATATATATTCTTTTTTCATGTTGAAAAGGGAATATATGCACACGTAAAAAACTGAGTCATTAAAAATTAAAAAGAAGGGAGTAAATTATAAAATATCATAATCTCAACAGTAGAATAAGAATGACACAATGGAACTATATAGGGATATTGAAAGTTCAAAGTAACTTTTAAAAACTACACAAAGTCAAGTCTCTCTTTTTTTCAACTGAAATAATAAGAAAGTGACAATCAGGCAATTCATTTTTACTTTGTCCCACAAAGGATCTTTTGAAATTTTTAATTTTTGAAGTCAGGTAAGTAAAATATAAGATGATTTACGACTAGCTTTTAGAACGATGGTCTTCAACTAACTGAATCTGAAAATTAAAATTTTGATTAACAGTTTAGGCTATTGGTCTATATTGGCATATCTCAATATGTATCTAGACAGTTTTCATAGGCTTAAAATAAAACAACTCTAAGAATTTATTTCTCTAATGAATTTGAATTAAGTTTTCTTTTGTACCCAGTTCATGGCAGTTAAGCACAGGTGGGTCAACTCAACCAGACAGCTCATGGCTGATTGTCAGAAAGTTAGATTTTAAAATCAGATGCTGACCTGACAGTCTGACTATTCTGCACTTGCGAAAGTGGTCATGCTTTTCATCTTTTCAACACTCAAGAATTTTAGGCAGCATAAATACACTTATAATGCAGATATATAAAACTGCATTACCTAAATATTAATTTTAATAAAAGTGACTTACTTATTGGGTAATTTCATCTATGATATAGATCAGACAGGTAAGAAGGTCTTGGGCTCTATAACGTCAGTGATGCCCTGAGGGCAGTAGGCATTAAGTTAGCAGGGAAACCAATGAGCCAACTCAGCTCACTTCCTTTTGACAACGTGAAAGGAAAAAATGATAAAATTTTAAATTCTGACAAAACAAAAATTCGATTATCTGGGATAAATGGCGGTGCACAGTATTACTGATGAATAAATTATCAAAAACTAGCATTGCAACTGAGAAATTTCACTTTTCTGAAGGGCAAAAGAGAGACAAATCAATTTTAGGGTGGTAAATATCTAAATACATCCAAAAAAAAACCTCCTTTTATATATATGTATAGGTAAAGACCTTTATGTTTTATATATATATATATATATGTTTAAAAACTAACAGCCATGTCCTTTCACTTCAAAACTAATTTTAAAAAATTATTTTACTATCAAAATTAATTCCTACTTATTTAAATAGCCCCAACTGAGGTATTCTATACATTTAAAAAGAATAACTCACATTCTAATTGCAACAACCTAAGAAAAAGCAATGTGGCACAAATATATGGTATTATTACAAATTCAAAATGAAGGTTTGGAATTCATTTACTTTTTGTGATGATGCATATTTTCCCCTCCAACTTCTTAAGTTATTGTGATTTAAAAACTTGTAATTTGAATCTAAAGATTTTAAAGATTCAGTAATCATTAATGAGCATTTCCAGTGAAGGAATGAAAGAGAATTTTAAAATCAGCACTTTTCTATAAACATCTATAATATAGAAAACGTTATAATCAGTTATTATTCAAGATGCCACAATTGTTGATGTTGAATTCTCTTATATAGCTATGAAATGGAAAAGTTTTAGTCCGTTACATATAATATGTAAAAAATCTTCTACATGACTTTATTTTCCATTTTAAGCATCT